GGTAGTATATGTGCCATGTTTGAGGTTTTAAAAACTAATTTTTTTAACTGCCGTGTTTGAGGTTTTAAAAACTGATTTTTTTTTATTTATTTACTCTATGCAACCACATAAAGGAAATTAGTGTGATATGCCATGAAATCAGTTTCAAAACCACTTTGAAACTTGAAAACATTTGCGGATCCGAGAAAGCTTGGAAAATATATTTTTGCCTCGAAATGCATGATTTTAACACGGAATTAGCCAAGCATGATTTTAACACTTCATAACTCATGCATAACACATTTAAAACTAGTTTGGACCATACATTGACTCTTTGTGACATAAATGGATGAACAATGACCTAAACTATCAAAATTGATTAAAAATGCAAGAATTTCCTAATCTAATGCATAAAGCGGAATAAATAAAAGGGAAGAGACATTGGGTTGTCTCCCAACAAACGATAATTTATAGTCTATAGCTCGAATTTACCATGGTTGATTCATTCCGGTGTTCTGAAATGAACGATGGACTTTTCCCTTGAGAATTCAACGCTCTATTATTGTTTAAGCCATTGTCCACTAACTTTAAAAAGTCTCCTTACCTTCATGAATGATCCCTACAACCCCATATGGAAATACCTTGGTAACTATGTATAGACCAGACCACCTTAACCTCAACTTTCTCGAGAAAAGCTCGAGCATAAAATTGTAAAAATGAACTTTTTGCCCCACCTCAAACTTTCTTCTTATCTGAATATGCATGTCATGCCATCTTTTGGTGCGTTCTTTGTACAGCTTTGATTCTCATAAGCTTCAAGTATAAACTCATCCATTTCATTTAATTGGAGTAACATCTTTTCTCTAGCTGTTGTCAAATCAATATTTAAGTTTCTGACTGCCTAGCAAGCTCGATGCTCCAACTCAATCGACAAATGAAACGCTTTCCCAAAAACTAAGCAGTATGAAGACGTGTCTATAAGTGTTTTGAAAGCTATTCTATAAGCCCACAAAGCGTCAATAATCTTCTTATACCAATCCTTTCTAGAAGAGCTTACCGTTACTCAAGTATCCCCTTTAATTCTCGATTGAAGATTTCAACTTGCCCGCTGGTCTGGGAGTGATAAGGGGTACAAGATGTCGAATGCCATATTTAGCCAATAAGGACTCAAATTGACGATTGCAAAAATTTTTGCTCCATCACTTATGATAGCTCGAAGAATGCCATAATGAATGAAAATGTACTTGTTTTTGAAATCTAATCACGATATTTGCAACGTTGGTTAGAAATGCTACAGCTTCCACTCATTTGGAGACATAGTCAATTGCAACTAGAATACATTTATTTGAGAACGACGAAGAAAACGGCCCCATAAAGTCAATTCCCCACACATCAAAGAGTTCCACAACAGGAATGCTATTCAGGGGCATCTCATTCCTTTTCGAGATATTTCCAGTGTCTTAACATCTGTCAGACCTCTTCACAAACTCATAAGCATCTCGAAATAGTAAAGGCTAATAGAATCCTAATTGTAGATTTTAGCAGCGGTCATTGATGCTCTAAAGTGTCATGCATATGCAGATGAGTGACATTGCTCCAGTATTTGAGGTGCTTCT